GAATGTTTTTTTCCATTACAAAATTTAAGGAAGTGAAACATTCCCGGCCGATTATTTAAACACTTTTTGGTGACTATCTGCAAAAAGTATGTTACCACGATAAACAATTGAGTAAGTGTTAGTGGTTCCTGAAGTTTAAAGGATGAACTCCTATAGAGAAAGCGGGTCCTCGAAGTGGTCTCAGAGACTTAACAGGACTTCTACGTCAAAAATCTGTGCTGCGATAAGCGGCGTTTGTTATCTTCTTTCTACATGACCTGTCCTACCAGTGTCAACTGTGAAACTTCATAACAACAAAGAAACTAAATGCGCACTGACCACGCTGGCAAAACGCGGTTTTATCTTGGGCGTTGGAACGCTAACCAACAGGTCGCGGATTCGACCTCGGGGATTGAGTATGGTTTGGTAATGACAGCTAAAAGCTTCTCACTCTTACCAAAGAACCCATTTGCTGTATGCATATGTGTACATTTTCCTTCCTTTTGTGATAGTTTTCAAGCGTCGGCCATAAAGAGGAATTTGGGTTGTTTTTACTAGAAAGAGACCTAACAAAAATAATGATATCATGTATGAAGAAACTGTAGGGCTAATTTTTCCGTTCCCTGACAAGAAATGCGGAAGTAGAATCAGAAAAGGGCAGGCAAATGTAATGCAAAAATTCTTCCGTGCATTTGTAGTCAAATTAATTTTAAATCCACGCGGCATATAAACACTGTCAACATTTTTCCGCGAGGAGATGCAATTGAATCCAAAATTCAAAGAATTTCACGTAAACTTGCTCAAAGTCCAAGGCAGCTGAGTACAGCCGGGGACAGAGTAGACTACACATAATGTCTACGCATTTGATTTAAGTCAAGCAAGGTACATGACGCTGGATGGTAACAGATGCTTGGTGTGCTTGGTCATATTGCTTAAATTTCAGTTTTGTTTTACAAACAAATTCTTAAAATAGCAGTTATAGGGGGGAAGTTTTAGGGAAAGCACAATGCTATAAGTGCAGCTCTCCCCGTCTTTTGGATAGCTTGAAATTCTATATCGCTTTGATGTACCTTTGTTAGTAAGAAAAAAACGCCATCCCATAACGAAAACTTAACATCCATCCGAGATCCGCGCGATATACTCTTGTCACTAGCATATGCTAATCAACCAATTCCTTCTTTTCCAGAAACGAGCTGCACATGGCAAACGAAATGCTTCGTGTACTTACGTTCGAAGAGTCGGGAACA